TAGATTTACCAGTAGTACTGGTAATTATGACCGGCGAGGGTTTAATTTATTAAATAAAGTTAGTTTGGGGGTTTTTTCCATTAAATACTTAGTTTAGGGGTTCTTACTCAAAACAAACTTAGTTGAGGGGTTTTTATGTTAAAAATCCTTTCTTATTTGACCTTTCATATATAACAAATTATTCAGAAATAGGGATTCTTGTCTAAGTCTGGTTCAACAATATTATTCTTTCTCCAGGAGAGGTAATTCCTATTAGCATATATGCTTTGCAGCGGAAAAATGTTAGAGCTAGATGGTGTTGTTTAGGGGTGGGCACTTTATCCGATACCCGAACTCGTACCCGAACCCGATCCGAAATATCCGAACCGAAATCCGAACCGAAGTAGCAAAATACCCGAACGGGTATTGAGTTAGGAGAGTTTGGATATCCGAACCCGAACGGGTAATACCCGAACCCGAACGAATATCCGAAGATAACCAAACATATGTATATATACCTATTTATTATTAGTTTATTTGTCTCATTTTATTAAAAATATTATATTAATGTTATATATAGTTTAAGATTAGATAATATATATATATATATATATATATAATTGTAAAAAAATGATTTGTTACTCATTTAAAATGCATATTAAGCTTCTTATTTCATATTTTAAACAAAATTTGAATCCAAAATTCGAAAATAACAACCAAAATAATGATTTTTATTTTCAATAATTTATTTTCAAACTTATTAATCGTCTAACTTATTAAACATTTTAAAAACAGTTAAGTTAATAGTCAAATTTNCAAAATAATGATTTTTATTTTCAATAATTTATTTTCAAACTTATTAATCGTCTAACTTATTAAACATTTTAAAAACAGTTAAGTTAATAGTCAAATTTCAAATACATGAAACTTATGTAATAAAGAATTTGAAATTTTTCTTTTAAAATCTAAATATCCGAACCCGACCCGAAATAACCGAACCCGAACTAAAAATATCCGAACCCGACCCGATATGTAAAAATACCCGAATGGATTCTAAACCCCAATACCGAAATACCCGAAAACCCGAAATACCCGACCCGAACCCGAACGCCCACCCCTAGTGTTGTTGATAAAGATCATGTTTGCAGAGATAGCGGGCATTCAAATATAGCATGTGTAGTAATCTCTTCTGGTTCCATATTTTGGACAATAATTATCGTATCTCATATTTCAACGTCTCTGATTATTTGTCACTATCACATATGTTGTTATCAGTTGCCATATAGAATGGCATATCTTTTGAGGTGTTTTTACTTTCTAAATAAAGCCTTGGAGCTTAATTATATTGGACTCCAATACCTTCATCTCTTCCTCATTCTTCAATACATTCCTAGTTACTCAGCATCCAAATTGAATTGTGTATTGATAATTCCTGTTGTAGTTTTAACAGAATGTATCACGACGCTGATTTTTGGACTTGTCGACAAACTCCGTATGAGAGGTATCTTCAGGGGCCACATAATGCTCAAGTAATCCAACACCCCATTCCTTTGATTCACTGTTAATGAGATCGCTAAATCTCAAGTTTGGATGCCATATTGGAGCAGAAGGTCGGGCTGACCTAGCCAATGTTGTAAGGATCCAAGGATCCCCCCCCCCACACACCTCATATCTAGAGAGTATCTTCTGTCTGATTTCCAATAGTAGAATGTTTTGTGTCGCTGAGATACTAGTCCACACATATGATGGGCTGGTAACAGAGATTGTTCGTAAAGGCGAACTCATTCTAAAGTATCTTCCCCTCAAAACTAGGTCACTAACGAATCAAAGTATTGAACTAGTCTCCATAGTTGTTTTCTAATAATTCTAGGTTGAACTCATGAATCATACGGAAACCAATCCCACCTTCCTTTCTTTGTAAGCAAAGCTTTTCCCATTTTACCCAGTGAATTCCTATTTTCAGTGGGTTTGAGCTCCATCAGAGTTGTGAAATGACACTTGTAAGATTTTCACATATCTCCAGCGGAAGAAAAAAGGTAGACATAACATATGTTGGAAGAACTAGTAGTATAGGTTTAATCGAAACTCACTTTTCTCTTTTTGAAAGCCATCTACATGTTCATTCATTGACTCTATGCATTAATTTATCCTTGAGAAATGTGTTCAGAGCCACTAATATTTCAGGAATTCCAATATAAGTCCTCATTTCACCTTCATTATGGATCCCAAGCGTATCTTTAATATGATGTCTAACATTTGTGTCGATCTCTTACCAAAGAGTAGAGAGGGTTTCTCATACATTGTCATGATGCTTGTCCATATTTCCTGACTAATTTCTTCACTTCTTCACATTCACGGGGCTCCGTCTTACACAAGAAAAGGCTATCAGCAAAGAGAAGGTGGGATACTGAGGGGCACACGCGTGTACCATGCATCCATGTTATCTTCTCTTAGTTCTCTGCATGATTAAGAAGGTTAACGAGCGCTTTCGTGCATAAATTAAAAATGAAAGGAGACGGAGGATCTCCTTGACATAGACCTCTCTCTGGAACAATATTTCCACGTGATTGACCGTTCATAAGTACCTTCTACTTAACGGAAGTGACACAACGCATTATCCAAGCAATCCAAGTTTCTGAGAATCACATCTTACACATAACTGCATCAATAAATGATAATTTCATCCTATCATACGCTTTGCTCATATCCATCCTTTTTATTGCGCCCACTTAGTTTAGTTCTCAAAGCATGGAACATTTCCTGAGCAATCATGAATATTGTCTGAAATCTATATTCTAACAGTAAAGGCTGAATGGATTTCAGAAATCATGTCTGGTAATACTTTCTTTAGTCTCTGGCATAAGACCTTAGATATTATCTTGTAGCTAATATTACACAAGCTAATGGGTTGGAACTTAGACATCTCATTCGGTTTAGTGACCTTTGGGATGAGGAAGATGTTTGTATCATTCAGTCCACTCACCATTGTTCCGTTAAATAGGAATTGGTTAATCATATCAGTTAAGTCCTCCTCTACAGTATCCCAAAATTTATGATTAAAGAGAGCTGTCTTCCCATTTGGCCCTGGAGCTTTCTCTGGTTGTGTAGCATGCAAAAAGTGCTAGTTTAACCTCCTATTCAGCAACCGAAGCTGTGAGATCAGCATTAGTTGACTCTGTAATCGTTGTGGATACTTCAGATAGCGCATCATCTATGTCTTCATGAATGGAGAACTCAAAGATTTGCATGAAATAATTAGTAGCAATGGCTACAATTCCTTCCTCATCCTCAACAATATTTCATTCTCATCTAGAAGCTGTGTTATTTTATTTGTTGCTCTCTTTTGCTTTGTCAATGCATAGAAATTTTTTGTGTTTCTGTCACATTCTCTAAGCCAGAAAACTCTACTTATTTTCTTCCACAACATCTCCTTTACCCTGTGAGCATCAGATAGTTCTTTTAAAGCTTCTACTTTTTTCTCGTTTGTAGCATCATCATTCGAGTACAATCCCTCTACCTACTCTTTAGTTCCTCCACAAGTTTTTCCAAATTCAAATTGTGTTGTCTCTTCCATTGACTAAATGCTTTACGACAAATCGAGATATGGTCCATAATATTGGCATCAGGAAGAAGATCTGGAGATTTTCATCCTTCAAGGATAAATTTTCGTAATTCTTCATTATCCAACCATTTTTGTCAAATTTGAAAAAAAAATTATTTCCTCGTTGGTTTTGTTAGAATGGCTGATAGGATCGAACAATGATTCGATGCCCATACCCTAATATACTTGACAGCAAAATAAGGTAATTTCTCAAGCCAATCTTCATTTTCAACAGCTCTGTCAAGATGGCATTTAACAGTTATTCGTCTTTTTCGCTTTCCTATCCATGATAACATGTTTCAAGTAAGTGGGAGCTCCAACATCCCACAGTCACTTAACATTTGAACGGTAAGAAAGAGCTATCAGAATGTTGTCGTCTCCCTTCCTTTTCATTATGACCAGTGATTATTAAAATCTCCTATCAAAAACTAAGATCCAGTTCTTGTTGTTAAAAAAGACGTAAGACATTCCTAAGTTTGGTCTCTTCGTTTTAACACAAGGTCAATTATACACAAACGTCATAAAAAAAAAATTATTCCATCAATGATTGTCTCAATGTCAATTATTCTTCAATGTCAATCATTATGTTATCAAGAAATAAGCATTAACTTGAAATTCATCTATAGAAAAAAGAGATAAACCCTCACTGAGACCAAGTTGCTCAACGGTAAACAAATGATCGAATTCTAAGTCGGCATGAAAGTTTTGCAATAACAGCTTTATGTTTTTCGTTTCAGAAATTAAAGAAACACAAATTCTGGGTGATGTTTCTGATACATCTTCATAAAGCGTCGAAGTATGAGATTATTTACTATCCTTAGATAGTTCCAACTAATTGTCTTTATGGATGATGTCTGGAGGAGGTTTTGGATCCCTCCAATCCACTACCCTTGCGTAAACTGCCTTTCATGCTCTTTGTCAGACCTGGTCATTGTTTTTCTGATCGCGATGTAGGCGATGGATCCCTAGAAAAAGATTTGCGCGTCTTTAATGAACCTCCACGGAGGAACTCCACCTTCTTGCTCTGTACACTCAAAGGGATTCCAGATCTTCCCAACTCCTATGAGAAGACGAGGGTTTCAACTTCTCAAGGAAGTCCTTTTCATTCTTTCCCACGTCAATGTCCTTTTATTATCACGTTATTTAGCCATCTTGGTCATATTATAATTATTATTAATATCCACGATTATTCTCCAAGTATTTATTTGAAAAACATTATTTAGCAGTCTAGTTCTTATTAACCCCGTTTATTCTTTGACAAAAAAAATATGTAATAGTTTTCTTTTTGAACAACATGCATTATTCAAGATGTGAAATATATTTCTTTGTGAACAAGGCATTGTTTCAGTACTATATATTTTAGTTTTCCCAAACTCCTAGTCTTCTATCTCTCTCTCTCTCTACTTCTCACTTAACCTCTATGGAAACCGAAACAACGTTTGGTCATGAAAGTCTTTCCTTCAAAAAGTTGTCTCACACCCAATGGACTGATTACTTCCTCTCTGTTCCCATCAGTGCGTCGGTGAGAAATTCGCAATTATTTTCACTTTTTGTTATAAGTACAAATATTACTTTAAGTAAAACTTTCCCGAGCAAACCGTAAACTTCTTAGTAAAACTTTACATGAAATAATTATTTGACTTGTCTAAGCTAATAGGGACTGGATGTTATTACAAGAGAGATTGACATACTCAAACCTGAAGTAAGGGATCTCATATCTTCACAAGGCGACGATGAGACATTGAAGAAGAAAGTGCTTTTGATCCAATTACTTCTTAGTCTTGGTCTGGCATTTCATTTTGAGAATGAGATCAAAAACATCCTAATCCATGCTTTCCAAAGGATAGAGGATATAATTGGTAATGAAATGAACTTGTCTACAGTCTCCAACATGTTCCGCGTATTTAGAACATACGGACACAATATTCCATCAAGTAAGACAGTAGTTATTTTATTTTATTGTTTTGAATTCATTGCAAATAACTGAAAATTTAAATTAATCTATGCAACATAAGCACTGGATTGAAGTAAAAAAAAAAACATAACCACTGAATTGAAGTAAAAAAAAAAACACATAACCACTGAATTGAACTTACATAAAAATATTCGGTAAATATGTTAAAATTATGTTACTAACTACTTGCAAATACCTACTTCTTTTTTTGAACAACTTGCAAATAACTTCTTTATTTGAAGGAACTTTGTGTTTCATTTGTTTAAGTTTCTTTTTCGTTCTTTTTAATTACTCACGACGAGGTCTGCGGCACTTACTCGTCGTTACGTTTGATAAAAAATAGAAACTTTTAAGTGGAAAATATATCATTTCATTATCAATAAACTGTATATTTAACCTTTCCTCAAAAAAAAACTACTATATATTTAACGCCAAGTTTCATTTTTGGGTTGGATACTAAAATGCATATTTTTCTTTTAGTACATATCAAACTAATTAATGTTAGCAAAGAATCACCAACTTAATTGGACGGTTTTTAATAGTTAAAATAAACATTTTTAACTTTCTGATATCTGATATATGGTGTTGCTGTGTAGAGAGTTGATATAATTAATTTAATTATTTATATTATTAAAATGTATTTAATTTTTTGGGTCACACATTGAGGCGTTATAATTTTTTTTTGCCATTATTAGTTGATGGTCTTTTTGAGTTCTGTTGAATATGCAGAGGTTAGCAAAGTTGCTACAAACTATAATATGTATATAATAGTTCGTTGTTGTAAGAAAACGTACTGTCATGTTAATGAAAACTTGGTTGTTCACTCGCGCTCCCTTCTTAATTATAGTAATGCATAAATATCCTCCTTGTCTGTATATATGTAGACGTATTCAATAGATTTGCAAAGGATGATGGGAAGTTTGGGGAATCTATTATGGGAGATACTATAGGTATACTAAGCCTGTATGAAGCAGCTCACTTCGGAACAACGACAGATGATATATTCGAGGAAGCGTTGAAGTTCACATCGAGTTATTTGGAGTCCTTATTGGAAGGTGGGACGTGCCTGCCTCATGTCTCAAAGCTTATAAGAAACACGCTTTACTTACCTCAGCGTTGGAATATGGAAGCACTAGTGGCAAGGGAGTACATTTCTTTCTACGAGCAAGAAGAAGATCACGACAAGATGCTACTCAAACTAGCCAAGCTCAGTTTCAAGTTACTGCAAATGAATTACATCAAAGAGCTGCAAACTTTTATCACGTACAAAAGCCATTGTCTATGAACTTTCGTAACTCCAATATATATTGATTATTTTTCGTTACTTTTTATTTTACCGATTCGAAGATGGTGGACGGAGCTAGGCGTTACATCCAAGATGCCAAGTCAGTTTAGAGAGCAGATCGTGGAGGCGTGGCTAGCAGGATTGATAATGTATTTCGAACCTCAATATTCAGGTGGGAGGGTAATTGCCGCCAAATTCAACTATCTCCTTACCATTTTAGATGATGCTTGCGATGACTATTTCTCTATTCCTGAGATTACAACCCTCGTCGATTGTGTGGAAAGGTACACCCATTAACTCTCTACTTATAAAAGAAAAACTCTACTTATAGTAGTCTTGTTTAAACTCGTTTGTGATGCTTTTGTGAATTTATTTGCTAAATTTCTGGTACTTATTTATAAGTTTTCTTTTTTTTTAATCATTTTTGATACAATAAAAAGTGAAATGCTCGCAAACACGTAGGTTTGATTTCCCCCTAATACATTTGTTCTATGATAAAAAATTGAAATGCACGCTTAATAAACAGCGTCAACAAAGTGAGTTTAACCAACTAGTAATTTTGTCTAAAACTTTGTTAAATACTTTTACTAAAGAAAATGTTAAAACTTCCGCATGTTTTATCAATAGTTAACCAAAACAGATTTTGCTTAAAAAATATATTTTTCTGTCTAAGAATTTGCTATTGTTATTTATCAATAGTTTATATTTCATTTCATCCCAAATTCATGTAAATAAAGAAATGAGAAATACTAGGGAAACTGTAATTCATCAACATAAATACGTACTCAATAATGTGTTTTCTTGTTGTGAGATTTAATTTGTAACCATCTGAAAATTTAGAGGTTATAGGTGTGACTTAGGCCTCGATTGGTACATCATATGATAAAGTAGTAACAGTATGATGTATAAGCAGTATGTTGCATAAGTTGTATGCTTTAATTAAATTTTTTAGTAAAGTAATTGGTAGAACAGTAACAGTATACAATTTTAAAATTATCATAATAGTTAGTATAATAATATATTTCTTTTACAAAATATTTATATATTTATAATATATATTAATAATATATTTTTATTAAAAATATAATCTTATTCATTATATAAATTATATTTAAAATGTAATATTTAGTTTAAAATATTAAATTATTTTTGAACATAAAAATATTTTAATATTATTAAATTAATTAATCATATATAAATTATTATTATTTATATATTTGGTAGAGCTGTAAATAATTCATATGTAAAATTATCCTAAAAATTAATATATGTAATATAATTTATTTATTAGGTCAAAATAATATTTTTATATCTGTAATATATAAATATATATTATGTTATATTTGTTATTAAAAATAATGAACGATATCTGTAATTATATAAATTATATTATATTTTAAATGTGAAATATTTTTCATATAAAAAATTAAAAAATATTTAATTATAATTTTTATTCTTATTTTTAAAATATAAATTTATTTTTTAATTATAAAAAAAATTTGTATTATTCAACAAAAGAAAAATATATAATTATTTTTAATTTTTATATATTATATCTATAAATACTCTTTCAAAAGCTCTATAAGAACGTATTGAGAAACGGGCATTTAGAGAGCATTTGCATTTGGTAAATGTTTTTTAACTGTTTTTTTGGCAAATGTTAATGGGATAATAAAGAGAATAATGCTCATGCTAATGTTCTACCAATCAAGTCCTTCGTAAAAGTTTCAATAAAATTTTTATATATAAATTTGGGGATATATCTGTATATTTCTCAAAATTTGGGGGTCATAATTCAATGTTTCATATATCTATACCAGGGCCCCCGGCATGTTTGTAGAGAAACAAACCTAAAATGACCTTTCCAATTTAAATGTGTAGATGGAGTCCTGATT